CTACCCCTTCCAATCCACTTATCAAAGAGTCCATGATCTGCTCTAAAATACTTGATGCCGTTTTTTTTCCGAAAGGTAGGCAAAAGTACTGATAATCCTTTATGTGTATTTATTGCCAGCATCTCCTTTAATGCCTCTTCTGTTTATAGCTGCAAATATGCTTCTGTCAGATCAATCTGCATGAACTATCCTCCACTAAGATTTGTAAACGCACCCTCAGCGAGGGGCATTGAGTGCTGATGCAGCTGCAATGCAGTTTTGTCCTGTCGAGGAGAACTCATAACGGATCTTCTACTTGACGCGGCCATTTTAAGTGTTCTTCTGCAGAAATCACTCCCTCGGCAACCAACCGATCACTTCTGCCTCCATTTTCGGTGCGGTTGCGTATGGAACTATTCGCTTTTGCTCAAAGACTGGAACTGCATGGTCTTTTGAATATAGCTTTGCTCTCCGCGCATTTTCCCAATCCCCACTAGAAGACTTCTGCATACTGCTTTTTCAAGACTGCGACAACTTCCGCTCAAAACTCTTCTTCTCTAGTCACCTTCCGCGATGGTGCTTCTCCTTGAACTCCAAGCCGGCAACTAAATGCACCACTCTGATCCTGTAGATCCGTGCTTTCGGTAATGTAACATGTTCCATCATCTTGGATCTTCTTTCCTGTAACAGATCTCTGACGGGAAAGTCGGTGGAAGAATTTGTCATCAATCTTCATCGACTTCCCGCCTGCAGTTTCCACGGATATGATGCAAGGTTCAGTGTAGGTGATCTGATTCTCTTCCAGGTTCGGCCTGATATCAAAGTTATATTAGCACCTGTTCACAGTAGGAAAGGCAAGAAACTTCCATTGCTAGCGACGTCGATATAGGTCATTGCATCCTCGGCGTCAAACGCGACAACGTTTTTGCACTGTCTCCTACGACCGAGTGCTGGGTCGCTGCTTTGCGTCGCTTCTACTGACCAGCGGAGGCGGAGAGTGCGTTTGTTTCTTATATGTTAATCTCCACAGCATTTTCCCTTTTTCTTCCACACAGCGTAGATGTCGTATGTTCCGTCCATGTCCGTGTTGTCTATTTTCAACGGTGAAATTCTCATTTTTATTAGCCAGGTCTTCGATTGTCAATGGAGTGTTGAATCCAGTCCGGTAATCATTCCAAAGCGAGCTTTCCGCACTGTGGAATCCTGAAGACCCATTCATTTGTAGCGTCTTCATCCCTGTGCAGTCGAGTTTCTTGAGTCGCGCGTCCTCGTCTAATTGTGTTGGCATACTCGCGGAACGGCACGTACATAGGTGTCATCACCGGGCAATTGCTAGAGCACTGATACCTCTTCCTTATCAATGTCTTTTTGGAGGCAAACAGCTTCTGGTTCAGCGATTGTTTATCGATTTAGTTCATATAATTGCATAGGCAGGACCTCATCTCCATGCTTCCGGTAGGCGTTTTCATCCAACTCCATGAAGATCAGTCGCGCTTCTTGTTCTCCAGTAACAAACGTCGCGTCATCCTGTCTGTACCTGTTGAACCTGTGTGAATGTGTTACCTGTTCTTCGTATGAGAAGAACTTTTGCACGTCCTTGCTCAGCTGATCATCTTGATCTTTGCTGGCGTCCTGGACGGCACCATTTTGACTACGGCTCAGAGCGGCGAACACTGATTTTAGTCCTGCTGCATCTTCATTTCTTCCTGTTGGAGACGCATCTCTCGGCCATGACAGCACAATCTTCTCCAGTTAAGAATCATAGCCATACCGTTGCTTTGCAACTTCAGGCATGGCTGACTTTATTGGGCTCGTAGCGACGACTTCTTTCTTTTTCTGTACTTGACCGAGGCTTCTTCGTCGTCTTTATCTTTGATTTGTAAAGTTTCTTCTTCATCCTTGAGGTGGGGGCTTCTGATCCTGACTCTGATCGCCAAATAACGCGTGATGGTGGACGGTTCATGCAAAAAAGACTGAAAGGCCTCCTATACAATCGCCGTAGCCACTGATTCACTAAATGAAATCTATGGAATAACTTTCGATTAACACCATAATTCATGGCGTATATCCCGCTTCCTGAGTTTCAAATTTAGCATTGGGAAAATACAGAAACAGTACAAGTTCAATATAGCTAGATGAGGTGCCCAAAAAAATTTCGTCGTCTATGTGTCAACTACTCTATGACTTCCAACAGTTTATTATGATGGTGCTGTCGCTCCAGTGTTCCGTGTAATAATGCTAGGCAATTGCTTGCTCAAAATTAATTGAGTAGTGAAGGGAAATGCCATTAGAGAAACGCTACTACTATGGTTATGCCCTAGAATGATTTTCTTTTACAATCCATTCATACTATTTCTGCTTCTCAAAGTGATACAATTTGGGCAAACTCTTAATCTTTCCTTTTCCAAACTCTGCATCCAACAAGCCAATAAAATTGTACCGATGTTTGTTGATATTGACTAACAGCCAAACCGACAAGGTATAAAC